CTTAGCTAGAAGCATCTGCCGGAAAAAGCAGTGCAGTTATCAACAATCATTGGCGACGCACACCAGTCGGGCCCCTGCGACTGTGCAAAAAATGCATTTTTGCACCGGTAGCCGATACGTTGCCAACTAAGTTTGCTGTTTTGGCAACCAGAGAACGAGCTCTGTAGAGGTGCAATTAGTTTCGTGTGGCGACCACATTCACTAAGTTATAAACTTTTCCTGGAAGAAGTAATTTCACAAATGTAGTTATACAAGTTCATGCTGTGTTTGTCCACTGTCTAGTGTGCGTATGTCAGGGTTGCCAAATAGTTCAAAATTCCAAAAAATAATCTTGGGAAATTACTGAGAATATGTTTCCCTAAAACGTTACGGAGAATGAAGAAATCAAAGTGTTTTCTTCATTCAGAATGCTCAGTGTATTGAGTATCGAACAGAATTTCAGGTAGGCACATTTGTTATAATTCGGGCGGTATCTAGAGAGAGGAACCACAAGTGAGCTGCTTGTTATAGCCTGGTCTGAGTAGATTTGTTCTAATCGGCCTGTTTATCGTTGCTACTGTGTTGCTTCTGCAAAAACAAATTTTTACAGGTTGGTTCATACAACGATATAGTAGGACCACTGTTTCGGCAGCCATACGATGATCGTACGCTAGGCGTAGTAGTTGTAACGACGCCATCATTCTTTGAAATCACATTCAAACGTTGGCTGGTCCTGAAGAAACGCTCTGAAGAAAGTCTGGATGAATTTGCCTCTAAATTTTCATCCGGTCCTATCGAATCATTCTTTACAGAAAAGTTCGCACACGTACAGCAGGTGCAAATGCAGTTTCTTGTTCTGCTCTTTTAAAAATCTTTAAAAACTGCTTTACTCTTGAAACACTGTGATCTGTGTGAAAATGTCGAGAACGAAAACGAATCCGAGAGTTAAGTGCATTGAATTAAGTGTGCGGCTGATTGTCACAAACAACGTGGGCCCAAAAGATGATACCAAACGAAATTTTCTTTATTCTTAGCTATGCATTTTTGGATGTGTGTACGAATCCAATGACATATAGTATCAAGCGATTGTGTATGTGCATTCACATTTTGTGCGCCACTTTTAACTATGGAGCCGGAGAATCAGGAAGCTTAAATTTTTGGAGCATGTTCCCACCCCATTTGCGATTCTCTCATTTTGAACTCAGTTTTCACGCATAGGGATGCCTGAAAGAATGCGAGAAAAGGCTTTGACAGGGAAATGACCTCAGGAATTAGGCAAATTAGAACTTCACGAAGAAATTTCTTGCTGTACAAGTTAAAAATTTCAAATTCAGTTGCTGCGCACACTTACGTCAACGTACTGATGTATCAAAGTTGAAATCGAAACATCACTGGCAAAATGTCGGCTCGGAAACCAGATTAAGTAGTGTGTGCTAATTTAACGGGATTATTGTCTGCCCATATATACACATAGGTTTAAATCGAGCTTAGGCGTAAGCCTGTTTTGTTTGTTCAGATACGTCAAATATATTTATAATGAAAAACCATTTCGCCAATCATTTAGGCCAGGAAGCGTGGATATTCTATGCCCAAATGCGACCGAATATTTCAGATTTGATTTTAAAGCATACCCAGATGTTTGATATGCGCAAATGAAAGCTTAGTTTGGGACATTGTTAGCACCGAATCCACACGATTCTTCACACTGAGCAGGAATCAATATTTTTCTAACGTTATTTGCTTTTCACGTGCGAAACAGCAAGCGTAAAGTGAGCTCTTACTTCAGCTTATGCCCCGGATTGTCAGATTACAACGCTACCGTCACTGTACTGTTTCGAATAACTTATAGGCAAAAAAGCTGAAATCTTATGAATAAACCGCCTGATTCTGTGAGGCACGCAAAACCTAATAGCTGTTTTAACGCATGCGAACCTCTTGTAAGTGGATACGAAAAATATTTGGTAACAAAAACGCATAATTGTACTGGCTAAATTGGTGCGCGTCACTACTGAGTTTTTTGTTGCTCTTTTTCACGATTTTGGATGGCACCTTTCATACAAATCCTGAATCGGCTCTTCATGGCCTTTGTTTTAAAGAACTAATCAAATTTTCATTGCTTTGGTCAAAACAAAATGAAACTTCCCCCTCGCTATTTTCTAGGTTTTCGAGCCACTAAAAATTAATTTGATACGTGACAACGATCTCTTACCAAATCGGCGGCCAAAAATATTGATGACAACGTGTGGACATGTTTCTGGTGCAGCGTTCTTATACCACCCTCCAGAGGCGGCACTCGCTTCTGTCCGCACTTCAGCGACAGTACGTTTAGCCTTTAATAAATTATGTGCATTTTCTGTACCATATAGCTAGATTTTCTGATGCATTAATGTGGTGCTTAATTGCCTAGCCATAGTGCTCTTGCTTGGCCTTAATTTTCCAAAGTCCACTTCTTTCCATCTCAATTGCTGTATAGAGCCAAGTCAAGAATGAAGCCTGGGCAACATTTTTAGCGTAGCTCACAGTAATTGTGATTTATTTCAGAAGAAAAGTCACCGAGTAGGTGTGTGCTTACATCCAAAGTACGGTGGCCACTTTGCATTTCGTGGAGCATTGATATTTCCGGAAATCTTTGTAGCGGAAACTTTCGAAGAAAAACGAGCACCGATGCTGTTAGATACAGTGGAAAAACAGAACGAAGCAGTAGAATTGTTCAACTCACAGTGGCAGAGTGGAAAATACCGGGATTGCGGCAATCCTGAGGAGAAATATAGCCCTTTGCAGCTGAAATATTTCAGCACATTACCCAGTGATCGATGGCCATTAATCGCTCATTGGTTTCAGTAATTGACTTTTGAGGAGTTTTTTGTAAAGCTGTTAAATTTTATG